CGGCGTGGGTGTGTCCTTACTGCTGTTGGTATAAATCCTCACTCCACCCACACCCACACCGACACCCACACCACACCCCCCCACACCCACACCCACACCCACACCCCACACCCTACTATTGTGAGTGTATCTGCTTTAGGTTATACCTCAAAGTAGATATTTTTAAGTATCATGTTATGATTTGTATATTTATATAGATCATTTCAACTGGTACTGAGGCCACTTGATAAGATTGAGTAATAGAAACATTCGAAATAATCTAAAATTAGGTTATCGTGGTAACTTATACACACCCACACCCTAGGGGCACGGTGGGGAGCCAGGGGACAAAATTGATTTTCGAGGTTCGAACCCATATCGTAGCTAGCATTGAAACTACTATGGCTGTGCATTTTAGTGCATCTTGGATGCCACTCTATAGCGAGTATGTAGTAAATAGCAGGTACCACAACGTACGTAAAATAGGTGAATATCCTTAATAGTACATAGATATAAGTAACATGTGTGTTTTAAATTAAGGATCTAGCTATATCCGTGAGTTATTAAGTAGTTATACAGTGTTATGTATTTACTATGTATTACAGACCGTTTGGACTTCTTGAAGTTCTTTAGGCTATAATAAGATCAAAAATTTACCATCAGTATAGTGAAAAATAACTACTTGGTCATAATGTGGTTCGTTCGCCAGATTTTGCCCGAGTTTAAATTTAACTGTTAATTTATCGTTGGATAGCACGCGTCATGATCTGTCTTCAGTAGATGTGCAAAGATGCGCCATTGAACCCTTGTCAAGATATTTAGCATTTTGTAGCGCAACTCCGTGGTCCGCTCAGGCTCATCTGAAAAATTAACTTTCGAATTTCGACTCGAAACTTTGCGCAAAGAAAGGTCTCAATGAGGCTAGTTGATCCTGAATGTTTCAAATTTCTTGATTGCTCCTATTCTTAAATATGAATATGTGACATTTTGTGCTATAAGTGATGTGAAAAACAATATTTTTTTTTATACTCGTAGCTCAGGACAGAAGGAACCACAAAATCCAAAACTTTCAGAATAAACTAGTCTCATTGAGACCTTTCTGTGCGCAAAGTTTCAAATCGAAATTCGAAATTCGATTGTCCAGGTGGACCTGAGGGGCATCACGGCTTTTTGCTAAAAAATGCCGTAAAAATTAAATATTTCGACAGAAATAAGCTAGAACCACGAACTCTTTTCAGGACATTCATATCTCATTAGAGCCTACATAATGCACATAATCTTGACTCAAAAGCGATTTGACAACTGGGAATTGCTCCTGACCTCCTTTTTCTGCCCACTGTGGGAGGAGGTGGCTTCGCGAAGGTTTCCATATTCCCCCTCAGGAATTTGCAAAATTTCGGAAAAAGTTGCATCAAAGAAACTTTTTGAGCCGTGACTGACCGTGACCAAGCTTCAGTCACGGTCACGGTCACGGTGACGATCTTTGAAACAACGTGACTCACGGTCACGGCCGTGACCGTGACTCACTGACAGTCACGGTGGTCACGCCGGGGTCTACATATGAATGATATGAGTCTGTCCCGTGCGTGCATGAGCATTACGCTCGCCACGGCGCCACCAGGATGGTTCCTGGTCGCGCGCGAATAGAATAGATATTCATTTCATCAATTCAATGCGATTTATTTGAGAGAAAGGAAAGAAAAAAAATTCATTGTAATGAGTTTATTCGATTGAAAAATGTTGAACACGATGATTTCCATAGTCGGCAACATAGAGATTGCCATGACGATCGAAGGACAAACCAATGGGATAGTTGAACTGATTTGCCCCTGCTCCCCAACCATTTCCACCCACAATGACAGTGCCCTGTTTTGCTCCTTGAGGCCAACGCATCACACGATTACTCAACGAGTCTGTCACATAGATAGTACCCAATGTATCGACGAACAGTCCGTTAGGATGCGACAATTGTGTCATAGCATTCCCTTTACCTTGACCTCCAGCGACGACAATTCCTTCTTTTGCACCTTTATTCCATTTCATAACACGATGATTTATTTCGTCTGACACGTAGACAGTCTGTTGTTGATCGACAAAGATGTATTTCGGCCAGTCAAGTTGATTGAGACCAGCACCATTACCATTCCCACCAGCCATGATAGTTCCATTTTTGTCTCCTATCTGATACCGTCTTACTTCATGTTTTTCATCGTCAGAGATATAGAGATATCTCTGATCATTCATGGCCAATCCACAACAACGGATGTTGTCGATGAGGATTTCTCCTTGAGTTGTACCAATACGACGAGACCATCGTACGACTCGTCGATTGTCTCGGTCACAAATAATGAGACTATCCGTCTCTTTGTCGATCAACATATCGGTTGGATAATTCAATTGATCCGATCGATTTCCTTGGCCATGGCCACCAGCTACTACTTGTCCATTCGTATCACCCATCTTCCATTGGATGATACGATGATTCCAGTAGTCAGCAATGAGCATCGTTTGATCACCATCAACGAAGAGACCCCAAGGGTTGTTGAGTTGATTGGTGGCATTGCCTTGTCCATGGCCTCCAGCAACTGTCACCCCATTCTGTTTCCATCGGGCATCGACTGGAATATTGGGAATTACTACAATGAACGAAAAAGAAAAGAGATTATCATTGTCGAAGAGATCTCCCTCTCTCACGTGGGGAAAAGAGCTATGAAGGAGATATTCGTCTTCTTCAAAGGGAATCTGGTGAAACTTTCAAGAGTGTTCTTTCTGCAGATAAAAATTCAGAAGTCTTTTCCTAGTTTCCTATAAAGAAAAAAGGACTTCGTAACGATTCTTACATCTATGTCACTTTTAGTTTTTGCCAAGATCTTTTTTGACCCTAAAAACTACACCTGGAGGTTGTTGTAAGGAGATTTTTCGAAAAAAGACATTGGGATCTAAGGATGTTGTTGGAAATTGCGAGAATTCAAGGTTCTTTTGCAGAATGATCATTTATATGAATATCAGAGAAGAGTCTATCTGCATCTTGTGAGAAGAATATCGAATCATTGAACAACAAATGTCAAATCTAATCTCTATATTTTTTAGGAAACCTTAAGGATACATGATTTTCTGCATGATGAATGCACGTTGGTCGAAGAGTCTCCTAAAAATTCGCACATAGAGGATATCGGTGAAATTTTATAAGACTTTTGGCAAGTTATGTCGAGGTGTTCGAAGAACGACTCTGATAGGATCTTAGCAAGATCATCAGAAGGTTTGGATGCATGCGAAATGGAGGAAACATGACAGGATTCCTCATGGATCTTTGGAGTGTGACGCCTTCCACTTTTGAAATTCTGAAAACACTAATGCTAATCCTACACTGCAAATTTTTTTAAAATTCTACTTGCTAGAGAATCAACTTTAAATAAGCTCAAGTATTTTCAAATTTTTGATTATTCAGTCATCAAATTTGAAAACTTCAGAAAATGCTTGATTTTCCAAATAACAGATATTCAATTTGATTTTCTAAAATAGTGATTTTTCATACGCATTAGAAAATCAATATAAACTCTAAATTATAAGTCAAAAACGAAACTAACTTTCTGGAAAATCATTTGAACAATGACCATTATAGGTTCATTGTTCATTCATCTATATAAGCTACTCGACAGTGTTGTACATTCATTATTTTCTCCAACAGCTATAGTGAATTCATAAGTTATATTTTTTTACCACGTCAGTCAGCTCATATTTTAAGAGTTTAAATAACAAATATTTCATTTATTTTCTTCGGCGCATTTATGTGAATTGAATGTCTAAGAAATTATTTAATCACGCTTAAAATTCTTTATTCTCTTTGCTGCATTAATGAAATTTAATATTTATGGATTTATATGAAAATTATTTGTAGAATGAAATTATTTATTTTATTTGTTACATTTATATTAAATGAATGCTTGTGATCTAAGTTACGATTAATTTTTCTTATATGATTTCGTGCGTTAATGAAATTTAATATTTATGAATTTATATAAAAATTAAGTGTACCATGAAATTACTTATGTTATTTGTTACATTTATATGAACTGCATATTCGTGAATTTATTTATATTAAGATTGAATTTGTTTATTTCATTTCTTGTTGATAGTATATTATCAGTATGACATGAAATGAATAAAAGATACTGCGTTGTGACATGCAGATAATAATTCGATTTTCAAGTGTTTAAAATATATTCAAATTACTAAATAGAATCCGAAATTCTAGAAATACCCATATGAATTCACTTTCGATTTTCTAATTAGGAAATCAAGTTTCTTATTCTTAGAGTTTCAAATATCTTATTTTCAACGAATTAAAAAATGATCGATGAATTCATATGGACATTTCTAGAATATCCTTCATTAAACTCTATAACTTATATTCTACTTTACAGTGTATCGAAGTTTTCCATAAGAAAACATAGGAAGGGTGTGGATTCCATGAGTAATTGGGACAAGGTGAATCTAAATGGAATAGTCAGAAATTGGTCTACAAAGCTGTTAGTAAATTTGTGTGAAAATGATCTTGAAACCATTGTATGAGGATCATAGAAGAGAACCTTAGTGACTAAATAAGATATTGTGTGAAACTCTGAAATTCTGAAAATGATG